AGTCAGTCATTTTTACTACACTATGTGCCTTCACTGCACTACAATCAGTCATTTTTACTACACTATGTGCTTTCACTGCACTACAACCAGTCATTTTTATACACTATGTGCTTTCACTGCACTACAACCAGTCAGTCATTTTTACTACACTATGTGCTTTCACTGCACTACAACCAGTCAGTCATTTTTACTACACTATGTGCCTTCACTGTACTACAATCAGTCAGTCATTTTTACTGCACTATGTGCCTTCACTGTACTACAACCAGTCAGTCATTTTTACTACACTATGTGCCTTCACTGTACTACAACCAGTCAGTCATTTTTACTACACTATGTGCCTTCACTGCACTACAATCAGTCAGTCATTTTTACTACACTATGTGCCTTCACTGCACTACAACCAGTCATTCATTTTCACAACACCGCCTGCCTATACTATGATAAGTTGTTTATCAAAGATTATTATCATTGAACAGAGGATGGTGAACTGAGAAGAACATTACAGTCATTAGCTTGTGGTAAGGCTAGAGTTATAGCCAAGACACCAAAGGTAAGATTACAGTATGTAGAGATTGATGCCATAGTACTCAGTCAGCTGATGTACTAGTAATAATCAAATAAATATATGGGGTAGGCCATCTTGAATTGGACCTGGACCAGTTATGTAATGCAAACTTTAGATTCCCACAAAACACATCGCCTGCCGATGCTTCTATTTAACATTCATATCGGCTATCTGTGGAGACTCACAGCAGGCAATGTATGTCACTTGTATGCCAGCTGACTGATAATAAATAATCACATGGTGTTTAGCATTGTGCTCAATTTATTATTTTGATTTTAATCATGATTAAGGATAATAAATTTTATGCAAGTATTGTGAGGTCAATTTCATTGACATATACTCACCATTTCAGTATTTTCTTCCCAGGGCAAAGAAGTTGATGATGGCGACATATTTACATTTAATGAAGACTTTAAACATAAATTATTTAGAATTAAAATCAATCAAATACAGATGAAAGAAACAGTAAGTATTTAAATAAATAATGAATGAATGAATAGTAGTACAGTAGAACGTCGATTATCCGAAATGTTCGGTTATCCGAACCTACTGTGTGTCCAGTGTTCTCCCCAGGCCTCTGAAGCGACACGGTACCGTGACGCTTGGACACTCGGTCGTGATGCTTGCCCTTTGTCCGTGACGCTTGGTCACTCGCCCGTGAGGCTTATGTTTTTGTTTACAAGTGTCAGTCTCGTCTTGCACGTATTTCAAACAATAACATGTATTGATCGAAAGGTAATCCCGCTTTTGTTAGCCATACAAAGACAGTGATAAAAATGGAAGTCTGCAATATGTTGCGAAGTCTTTCAAAGGTGCAGAGCCTCCAAATCAAAAAAAAAAACTAACTACAGTAGCAATAATTTGCCCATTGCACGCAACGGCAACAATGTGACAAAACAAGTCACGGCGTACGTCGGGAAGATCAACCCCGATTTGCTGCACTCTGATTTGTTATCACTCAATCGCTGGTGACATTAATTACCCCGAAATTAAAAAAACAAAACAAGTGAAATTAAGTCGCATTGGAAAGAAAAGTAGCAATAGCAGCGGTGAATACCCGTCCAACGCAATGCCGTCAGCTGACAATGTTACGGTGATCGTAGCATTGTACTCACAAGGTATATTGCAATGAAAAATCGCCGAACTGCCATTGTAGAATTTTTTTTTAATTATTGATTTATTAATTTCAACATATTTCGATATCTTGCCGACTTTATAAATTTAACCAAAAAATGTTTTCCCTGACGTTCATATGAACCGACATTGACATGGGCTCTAAAACTTATACACAATGATGAACCAGTTACATCCATGGA